CACTGGCAATCACCAATAGCCGCGCTAACTTGGTGATTCCGAAGTTCTGTTTGTAGAGTACACCATTTACCAACACAAAAGGACAGGATCCTGGAGAAGATGCAGGGGACTGCGCCTCCTCGGCCCTCCAAGTGCTCGGTCAGCCCGCGGAGTTGAGAGTCACCCTGCAGAAGTGCGGCCATGTCACTCATGTTTACGGAACCAATGAAAACCTCGTGGTCGTCGTCGGCAGTGCTAGCGAAAGTTGACTCGACGGGGGCTTCCGAGAGATAGTCGGCGTCACTGTGCTTGTAGCCAGACTCATACACGAGAGCCATGTCGAATTTTTGCAATCGGAGCCTCCGGCGAGTCAGGCGTCCTGACGGGTCTTGAATGTTGGCGAGCCAAGTGGGCGAATGATGATTTGGGACAACTCGGAAAGGGCTCCCGTACAGGTACGAGCTGATCTTGGTTATCACCCAGAGGATGGCCAGGCATTCCTTCTCACTCGTCGAGTAATTGTTCTCGGCCTTTGAAAGTGTCCGACTGTAGTAGACGATTACCCGTTCTGTGCCCTCCTGCAGTTGAACCAACAGCGTTCTGTGTCCCGTATTACACGCGTCCGTGTGACTTTCGGTCTCCGCAAATTGGTCCAAATGTCCGAGAATGAGAGGCATCTAGAGTCTTCGCTTCAGCTCGTCGAAGGCCCGTCGAACCTCTTTTTTCCACTCGAACTTTGCGGCGTCTTGTTTGAGATGTGTTAGCGGCACGATGAGCTTTCCAAGATCTCAAACAAACCGCCTATAGTTTGCACAAAGCTCGAAAAATTGTCGCACCGCCTTCATGTCGGACGGCGGCGAAAATTCTGCAACGGTCACGTTGCTCTCGACGTGACCGAGGAACTTTTGTCTAGCATAGGAGAACCGACACCTTGTATGCTTGAGTGACAGGCCGGCGGTCTTGATGGCTTGAAGCACGGCTCGAAGTCGTCTCAAGTGTTCGTTGAGATCCCGTGTAAATGCTACGGCATCGTCGAAGTAGACGAGGCAGCTCTGACATTTCAGAGTGCAAGCAGGGTGTCCATCGCGCACTGGAACGTTGCTAGTGATGTACAAAGTCAGAACAACATCACTTTGAACTCGTGCAGGCTGTCGGGTTTGACAATGGTAATGTTCTCGCGGTAGCGTTCGTCGACTTCAATCTGCCAGTTGCCACTCTCTAAGTCCATCGACAAGAATATCGGGAGTGGCGCAGTCGGTCTAACGTATCAGCGATGCGAGGGAGCGTATCTACGTCCTTTTAGTCACAGCGTTCAGTCTCTGATCATCCACGCAGAACCTCAGGGTTGCGTCCTTCTTCTTTACAAGGACGACTGGGGACCCCCACGGACTTCTTAAAGGTTGCATGTGTCGTCGTCGAGCATTTCTTAGACTTGATCTTGAATCGCTTCATTTTCAAGGAGACTCGGTACGTCGACTGATGGACAGGGAGTGGGTCGTTGTCAGTAACGATGTAATACTTCGCTCCCGTTGATCGTCGCAGCGTTGATGTGGCGAAGCACTCGACGAATTAGCTTAGAAGGTCAAGCAGCCGTCCTAGTTCAGTAGCTGGAATATTCGGTTCGATGTCAAGTTCCGAGGGCGGCATTCTCTCGTTCTCCGATGAAGTCAACACTTCTAAAAGTGAAGCGATTACGGCTGACTTCTGGTATTCGTCGATGAGGCCCACGGCGATACCTTTCGAAAACCTTGCGGCTCTTCTCAAGAATTTGTAACCAGGAGCATACCGCACCCATCTCGAAGTTTTGTTACTCCTCCTACGACAGCGATTCCTCTTTCCAGATTCAACCAGGTGCTTCCCTCAAGCAAAACTTCGCCGCAGGAAGCTTCATTGGTCCCGACGGGTGCGAAAGCACTCAACCACGGCGGTAAGTTCGCGCGGTGTGCGAAGACACGGACCACGGAAAACGTTGTTGCGGATTCTTCCAGGGGTAGGACAGGTTTTCATAGCGTCGGACGGTTTGCCTCGATATTGATTACGGCGCCGTACTTACCTAGAAACTATATTGCGAGGATAAAGTCCCACGCACATTCTTGCAGAACAACGAGCTTCACGGGGCAGGTCTCACGGTTGATGGGAAATCGTGCAATGCACATTCCAGACAACGTTATTACTTAGACCCCGGCGGCTCATATTTGCGGACCAGTCCTTAGCGTCGTCATTTTATGAAGCCGGTGTGAAAGCCTCCCACTAAAAACGGAGTGGTCTCCTCCGGTGTCCACGAATGCCGTCGCGTCGTGGCCGTCGATGGTCACATTGAGGGTGTTGGAGACTGCTGTATGCGTGTCGCCCGGATGCGTGGCGTCGGCCGAGTGCGAAGTCTCCCGCGTCTTTAGAGTCTCTTTACGTTGTCGGTTTACGGCAACTCTACATCTATAGGTAGCAGCGCTTAGTTTTCCCAGCGCGACAAGGGCGACAGGCTATCACGATGGGTCGGTGCACGGCGATACTGGACGTCGTGGGGACTGCAACTGGGACCCGCAGCAAGGTGCAGGTGATAAACACTGAGCGTTTCGAAGGTACTCTTCAATCTCCCGCCGTAACTCACCGTAGCGTGAACGTGGGTCATTTGATTGGAAGCCGCGAAGTCCTATGTATATTTGCCGGTAGGGGCAATGGGTGATACACAAGGTCGGCCTCCCCACACTCGTAATACGGCGGGCGTCCGTCGGCCGTCCTCCAAACATCCGTCATCCTAGCAAAAGTTACTCAGAGCGGACGTACTGTGGCGCTGGGGGTTCATGTCGTGGTGGCGGCGTATATGGGGGAGCAAGAGGCGGTGGTCATCGGAGAGTTGGGGCGTAGATCAGCGTCGGTTTTTCGGACGATGAAGAGTTAAAAGAAGCCTGTGGCTCGATAGCCCTATGAAGCTCTTCTTGTACAACATCGGCGATGGACAGCGATGCCGGAGGGTCGGCAGCAGGCAGCAGTTTCTTGAGTTCTTCGAGAGCAACCACGTGGCTGATCTCGCAAATCTTGTCGGTGGTGGTGCTTAATATTAACACAGAGCGTGCCATTTCCAGAGCTGACACGTTGTTGAGCTGATGAGAGTGGTGAGCTCAAGCCGTTTGTACCCGCTCGATGTTTGTTGCTTCGGCCACAAACTCGTCGGCTGTCGTTGGAGAATTGCCGACAATGCCGCCGAAGACCTCACTTTTCACGCCTCTCGTAACGACCCTGAGTTTTTCTTTAATGGTGGCTTGATGGTCGGCCCAAGTGCTCAGCCGCAGAACATCTTTGACATAGCTGGTTACACTTTCGTTGGGTGCTAGAGTCCTCACCTGTAGAGCCCTTCGGACAGCTGCCTATAGTGCTGATTTATGAAGGTCCGCTTCAGCTCGGTGACGCAGGCGTCTCACGATGTAAGCGAAGCCTTGTGTTTCTCTAAGCAGTGCCTCGCGGTGTTCTCCAGTGAGAAATATAAATTGTGAAGGCGCTGCTTTGTGGTCCACCCGTTATGACGGTCTGTGAGTTCACAATGCTGAAATCATTATTCCTGATGCTTGTGAGCTTCACCATAGAATGGAGTCGGATTGCGTTGGAAGACTGGCATAAGGACGACGGATGGAGTGGTTAACGACGTCTGCGGCGGCTTGTTGCTCAACACCGGTTTTTTCGACGGTTTGGTCATGGCCTTGGCTGTCAAGAGACCAAACTCCGTGGGCCTTCCTTGCGTGCGGCGGCTTGCTCGTGCGTCGCCTTCCTCTTCGAAGAGTCTTCATTCGCTGTTCAGTGGGATAGCACTGCGGGCACTTGGAGTGTCTCACTGTATGGGTTGTATCCCGCTCATCCACCAAAATGTCCCGAATGACGGGGGGACGACAAAAGGATAAGGGAACTGACAAGTTTAATGAGGCAATCTGCCCTAAACAAAATAGAAAAAAAGGCTTGCTTCGCAGGCGTCGATGACGGCGTAACAGCGGGATTGAATGCTGGGGCGAGAATGGACTCAAACCACCCCGGAAAAAACGTTTTGTGTTCCCTTTGGTCTCTGGAACATTCGGCGTACAACGTTCGGAGCATAGAATTGGGTAGCTCGATCAGACGACAAGGTGCCTCGATCAGACGACAAATTGAAAGAATTATTAAAAAGAAACAATCCCTCCCAGAATTCGATCCTGGGGCCTCCATGCGAAATCTAAGCACTGTAACCTTTGCGCCATGCACGCGCTCACTCGGCGTCGGGCGTGGCGATATAACTTTGTTAAAAATGTTGGGGGACCAGTCTAAAGAGGAAGTACGCTAAGGCTTTTTTTGTTTTGCTTACGAGCGAAAATATTGTCATCCTTCGGGTAAAATACAGAACAGTTCGTAATCCCAATTTTTATATCATGAAAGCTCACAGAAAAATAACAAAGCGACTTTAGTAGGCTTTTTTTTTATTTTAACCACACAGGATCCGGGGTTGTGCATTACAATTTTGTACAGCTTTATAACCTACATTTTGTTAGAATGTACAGTAATAAACAATATAAGCACTAATTGCAAAGCAACCTTAGAGAGAGGGGACTGGTTTTTTCCCCTTTGCGAGAAAGGTAACTATCTAAGAGTTAAAAAAAAAAGAAGAAAACATGCCGATGGAAGTGTAACACCACTGTTATCTCACTCTGCTGATCATGACAAAAAGCATAACCCGCCCAGATCTATTTGTACCAGTGCTAAGCGTGTACAGGCGGTACAAAACAACGCGGAGGGAAAGCAAATTGGAAGTGCATCTCTAGACACAGAAAACTACATGCAGAGCCATTGTGCAGTTCACGTGCAAATTCTCATGCTAGCTGCGGCCACCTCTTGGTTGTTTCATTTGACGTTTTTATGACCAGAGAAGGGAATATTCATACGCCTAATTGTAGGGATTATAAATACGCAAAAGGCGCTTTTATGCAAAACACTTTTGACTTTTGGACTTTTATGCGAATTTACATTGTATAAGTATATACGTACAGCCCTTTCAAATACACCTGTGGAATGTCGACAATATTAGAGCATGTATTGGCTTTTTCGAGCCCAGAAAATATCTTGCAGTATTCAGAAGCAGTGTAGAAATCCGCGGGAAGTTTGTCGTTTTCAAATCTCATTGACTTGTGAGAACGATTGAAGCAATCTTCTTTCTTATATCTGAAAAAAAAAATCGTTTGTTTATTTTCGTATAATACTGAAGCAGCTTTGCTGCCCCCCCCTTTCCCAGGAAGAGTGGCTACAAATGAAAATAAACACACACAATCACGCCCTTTCACAAACAGAATATTCGAAATTATTGCTGAAATTGTCACCACTTCGCTAAGATATCTCAGGGTTACGGCTATCACCAGCATCGTTTGACACGCAGTTTAATTGTATTATTCTTAATGGAAAAAGTGAAGTTTGATAACATTTGTGCTTTGATACGGCCCCAAACGCCTGCCATGATTAGACATGTACTACCACGTGAGACTTTTTTGGGGTAATGTGATTTATCTCAGCTTAATTAATAATTGGTTATGAGGTGTAAAAACTTGAGTGGCAGTTTTTCGGAGGAATCTCAGTGACTCCCATTCCAGGACTTTCAATTTTTTTGATGACCTGTCTAAACGTCAATAGATATTGGAAAAAAGCGCGCTTCGAAGCTTTGAATTTTCTTTAGTTCATCGATATTTTTCTCACCGTCAAGAGAAACCCCAAGCTACGCAGGCGCGCCCTTGAACGGGCCGCACAAATATTTTATTCGCAGAGTTTTACGCTATAGGGTGATAGGGACAAGCTCCGTCTGGTGAGAACAATTCTCTCTTTCCAGCTCTACAAAATATTTCAGTTGAATCGGTACATAATTTCTCGAATAAGAATTAACCTGGAATATTTTTTTTTTGCTTTATCCTTTAAGTACTCTCGATTCCTTAAAAAAAAATGCTATTTTTATTCACAATATCTATGAAAATTACATCTCTCTGACGACGGCATTTTCCATTCGACAGAAGACAAGATAATTTTCTAAATGTTTTTGTAGAGAACATACTAATCATAATCCTTTTCACCCTTCTTGTAAATGACACAATTGTCTGCATATTAACACACACTCCATCACCCCGGAAGTTTAGGTAAACCTATATAATCTGCCCCAATACCGAAAACTGTAGGTAAGATAGCAGATATATAATTTCACACACAGCTCAATCCTATCTTTAGTTTACGCTGTAAGGTTTACTTTTCAAACAATTCAAGCACCTGATGGCTGGCCAAGTTTTATGAATACAAAAAAATATTTGCAGGTATTTTGCAACATCTTTTTTCTCTGTACCAAAAAGGAACTTACATAAACCTATTTGACTTTTGGCTTAAGTCGTTAGTACTATTTTCTTTTGCTTCGTGAGGTTTCCTGAACAAAATAACTGTCGATACTTTCAACTCTCACACAACTTAGGCACATTACACGGGGAGCACAAGGTTCGAATTATATTTTATTTCTTCGTGCAAGAACAGGTTTATTAAAATAAGACGACCAACCAATCCCTAAATCAGGGGCCCAACGTTTCGAAGCCGGTTCGGCTTCTTCTTCAGGGGCGACTATGGAGGAAAGGAGCCGCAATCTTCTTTTTCCTCTATGACGGAGGCGAAAGTGCATGATTTCATCTTCTTCCTCTTTGCTCGTTTTTTGAAGACAACTGATGGAGTCCGTTCACATACACAGATGGCAGTGCGCCAAGAGACCTATTAATGTTTGTTGGCGTTGTCTGAATGTGCCAAGATTCAAGGAAGAGCCTCCGGCGAGGATTAGTTTCATATCCAGGATACGTGTGTTTAGAAAGTCAATGCGGCGGTCATTCTTTTCACAGTGTTCAGCAACCGCGCTGCGCTCTTGATCGAAGTGGCGCACATCAGCCTTGTGTTGTCGAATCCGTTCATGATAGTTTTTTGCTTTCCCTATGTACGGGGACGGGCACTCCGCGCAGGGAATCTCGTACACCACACCTTGCACTTTCTCTTTAGGGGGCCGATCTTTCGGTCGTGGCATAAAGCGTCCAAGGGTTGAAATTGGCTTGTGGGCCATCTGAATGCCCTCCTTTGCTAGCACCCGTGCCAGCGGCTCACTTGTTCCCTTGATGTATAGGACGCTGATGCGCGTGGTTGGCCGGTGTTTCGAATCAACCTGCGACTGACGGTGTTGTCGGCTTCGGTTTTGACGACGGGCAATGCGGTGTATGAAGCTGCCGCTATATCTGTTTTTCTTGAGGTCGCAAATGATGGTTTCTTCTTCTTTTCGTCGATCAGAATCAGTTGAAGTTGAGCAAAGGTTCTTTGCCCTTGATAGGAGTGTGTTTACCACCGATACTTTATGGGTCGTTGGGTGGTTGGAGTCAAATTGTTAGTACCTTCCGGTGTGCGTTGGTTTGCGGTAAACTTAGAGCTGGAGATGGTCTTTCTGCCTTTGTACAAGCACATCGAGAAACGGTAAGGTGTTGTTTTTTTCCCGCTCCACGGTGAATTGGATGTTAGGCTCGATCGAATTGAGGTGTGTCAAAAAGTTGTCTACTTGAGACTTCTTCATGACGCAGAAGCAGTCGTCCACATATCTCAGAAACACCTTGGGGCTTTCAGCAAAGGACTGGAGAGCCTTTTGTTCTATGGCTTCCATGCACATGTTTGCCGTGGCGACAGAGATGGAGGCCCCCATTGCGGTTCCACTGGTCTGCTTAAAGTACTCTCCTTTGAAGCTGAAATTAGTGTTACTCAGGCAGAATTCAAGGAGGCGGCAAAGTTCGTCCACGTTGAGCTTGGTCCTGTTGCTCAAATCGCTGTCTTTCTCCAGGGTGCTTCTGGCAGTCATGACTGCTAAGGAGACCGGAACGCTTGTGAACAGAGATATCACGTCAAAAGATACCAGAATCTCCCCGGCGCTTATCTTTAAATGCGAAATCTGCTCCACGAAGTCGCTGGCATTGCGCACATATGTTGGGGTTTTCCCAACGAGAGGAGAGATAGTGTGATGAAGGTAGTTTGACAACGCTTTGAGCGGAGAGGTGGTGAAGTCAACGATGGGTCGGAGGGGAACGTCAGGTTTGTGTATTTTTGGAAGTCCGTAGAAGCCGGGGGTAAAGCCATTCCGGCAAAGAAGGCGCAGGTGAAGCCTCCTGGAATCTGGGTTACCTTTAAAAATATCCGTAAGAATCTTGTTCAACTTCGTCTGGACTTGTGATGTCGGGTCTCTCTTGAGTTTTTCATATGTAGAGCAGTCAAGGAGATCGCGGACCTTATGCACGTAGGCATCCCGGTCTAGGACGACCGTTGAGTTGCCCTAATCCGCTGGCAGCATCACAATGTTGTTGTCCTCTCGAGGCTTCCGAAGAGCTTGCACCTCTTCTCGTGATAAATTGTGTCGGTGATGTCTTGGAAGTTTTGATAGCAGAACAACTACTTTTTGTCGGACTCTTTCGCGAGCGTTTGAATGCAGCTGCGCGCAGCCGTCTTCTATTGTGGCAACCATTTTTGGTAAAGGTGGCTTCGTCGTTGTCATGTTATAACCGAGACCCTTTGCTAATACTGGAGTCTCACAAGGAGAAAGTAGTATTGAAGAAAGGTTCGTGACAAACCCGTCGATGTTGTAGGTTGCCTTGTTTTTCTCTGTCAGTCTCGAAAACTTTTTTCGCTGGGCTGTTTGCTGTTTTGCTGCAGCGGTGGCAGCGACACTTGTGGCGAACTACTTTAAAGCTGGAAACACGTCGGGAATTTGATGTTCCAGCTTCCGACGAGTAAAAAAGAGGTCCAGCTCTTTCTTCTTTATAGTTGAGTTGCACTCGTGTATTCGAGCTTAAACTAACCTGTGCTCCGCCTGGTCGATAATTTTGTGTCCCTCTGGTGTATGGACGATGCGTTTGAGATGAAGACTGCGGGGAACCACGTGTGAATCTCGGCAGTTTCTTGTAAAGTCAAGATGGGTCTTAAACGTCGAGATGGTGCGAGCGATGTGCACATACCGTTTTGCCAGCTGTGTAGTCTCTTCTCCGTAGTCAAGACGTAAAGACTTAAAAGTAAACATTAGACAGAAGTCTGCCTGGTTGGGGAAATTATTATTAAAATACGACCACCAACCAATCCCTAAATCAGGGGCCCAACGTTTCGAAGCCGCTTCGACTTCTTCTTCAGGGGCGACTATGGAGGAAAGGAGCCGCAATCTTCTTTTTCCTCTATGACAGAGGCGAAAGTGCATGATCCCATCTTCTTCCTCTTTGATCGTTTTTTGAAGACAACTGGTGGAGTCCGTTCACATACACAGATGGCAGTGCGCCAAGAGACCTATTAATGTTTGTTGGCGTGGTCTGAATGTGCCAAGATTCAAGGAAGAGCCTCCGGCGAGGATTAGTTTCAATGTCCAGGATACGTGTGTTTAGAAAGTCAATGCGGTGGTCATTTTTTTCACAGTGTTCAGCAACCACGCCGCGCTCTTGATCGAAGTGGCGCACATCAGCCTCGTGTTGACGAATCCGTTCATGATAGTTTTTTGTTTCCCCTATGTACAAGGACGGGCACTCCGCGCAGGGAATCTCGTACACCACACCTTGCGCTTTCTCTTTAGGGGGCCGATCTTTTGGTCGTGGCATAAAGCGTCCAAGGGTTGAAATTGGCTTGTGGGCCATCTGAATGCCCTCCTTTGCAAGCACTCAGGCATTCAGATGAGGGCATTCAGATGGCCCACAAGCCAATTTCAACCCTTGGACGCTTTATGCCACGACCAAAAGATCGGCCCCCTAAAGAGAAAGCGCAATTAAGGTGTGGTGTACGAGATTCCTTGCGCGGAGTGCCCGTCCTCGTACATAGGGGAAACAAAAAACTATCATGAACGGATTCGTCAACACAAGGCTGATGTGCGCCACTTCGATCAAAAGCGCAGCGCGGTTGCTGAACACTGTGAAAAAAATAACCACCGCATTGACTTTCAAAACACACGTATCCTGGACATTGAAACTAATCCTCGCCGGAGGCTCTTCCTTGAATCTTGGCACATTCAGACCACGCCAACAAACATTAAGAGGTCTCTTGGCGCACTGCCATCTGTGTATGTGAACGGACTCCACCAGTTGTCTTCCAAAAACGATCAAAGAGGAAGAAGATGGGATCATGCAGTTTCGCCTCCGTCATAGAGAAAA